CATCAGTGCAACAGAGTTCGATTCTCCTAGAGATGATAATCATTCTGCATATGTAAATCTCGCCCTAGCAGAGTTGGGGTTAAATGTAAATAACCTGTTTAGATGAATAGTATAGTTTACATTGTATCTCTACTGTCTGCTACTATATCAACTTATTATATTCAAGAATTTTTTTTGTGTGTGTTCACATTCTTTCCAAATTCTGAGATTTAACAGTCTAGATTTGAGTGCATCAAGTCTGCCTTTCTGTTAAACACTTCTTTCTTTGAATATATTCCTTCCTCAGAATCCGTAGAGCACATGAATACAGATCGATCGATCAATTTTTTTATTACTTTTGTTATATATTCCCAATACTGAGCTTCATTCTATGCCTTGTGATATATCATACCTTGTAATGCATTCCAATACGTTCCATTACAGTAAGTTACGTTAACTTCCATCCTGATATTCTCCTTTTGTATGTTTTAATGTTCATTTGTTGTGTACTTTGACACTGTATAGAATCAGCCCAAGCTGTACTCCTGTCGTCTCTAGTTTGTATCAGCTGTATGTCGGGACGACATAAACTAGCATCGCCGAGTTCTCGCAGTACCAGTTATCTCAGTAGTACCAATTACCAGTGTCAGTAGTAGTGACTCATTACCAACCATCTGTGTGAATCACCTGTTATTCACTGACCTTACTGCTGACCCTAGCATGTTTTGAACGCCGCTCACCCAGGCATCATTCGTGAGTCAGTTGAAGGATAGACAGGAGAGATACGGGTCAGGCTTGACGCTTCCCATATAGTCCGTCGAATACTTACCGCCTAAGTGAGTGTTGCTACCCAATCCACGTTTCGGGACATACATATATATATATATATATATATATATATATATATATATATTATATATATATATATATATATATATATATATATATATATATATATTATATATATATTTCTTTCTTTCAAACACACCGGCCGTATCCCACCGAGGCGGGGTGGCCCAAAAGGAAAAACAAAAGTTTCTCCTTTTACATTTAGTAATATAACAGGAGAAGAGGTTACTAGCCCCTTGCTCCCGGCATTTTAGTTGCCTCTTACAACACGCATGGCTTACGGAGGAAGAATTCTGTTCCACTTCCCCATGGAGATAAGAGGAAATAAACAAGAATAAGAACTAGAAAGAAAATAGAAGAAAACCCAGAGGGGTGTGTATATATGTGCTTGTACATGTATGTGTAGTGTGACCTAAGTGTAAGTAGAAGTAGCAAGACGTACCTGAAATCTTGCATGTTCATGAGACAGAAAAAAGGACACCAGCAATCCTACCATCATGTAAAACAATTACAGGCTTTCGTTTTACACTCACTTGGCAGGACGGTAGTACCTCCCTGGGCGGTTGCTGTCTACCAACCTACTAACCTATATATATATATATATATATATATATATATATATAATATATAAATATATATATATATATATATATCGACCTGACAACACAGGAGGGTCAGGGGAGACATGATAACGACATACAAAATACTGCATGGAATAGATAAGATGGACAGAGACAGGATGTTTCAGAGAGGGGACACACAGAAACAAGGGGTCACAATTGGAAGCTAAAGACTCAGACCAGTCACAGGGATGTTAGGAATTATTTCTTCAGTCATAGAGTTGTCAGGAAGTGGAATAGTCTAGCAAGTGATGTAGTGGAGGCAGGAACCATACATAACTTTAAGACGAGGTATGACAAAGCTCAGGGAGCAGAGAGAGAAAGGACCTAGTAGCAATCAGTGAAGAGGCTGGGCCAGGAGCTGAGTTTCGACCCCTGCAGCCACAATTAAGTGAGTACAATTAGGTATACCTGGAGTACATTCTGGCATGAAATGTCAGAAATCTTACACAGACTGACAATACTTCAGGAGCAGAGACACAGTCTTTGGCCTCCACTCCAGAACAACAGATATAAGGGAAAAACAACATCCAGTATTGGGCCCCTGCTTAGGCCAGATGGGACATACACAGATGACAGCCAAGAAATGATGAGTAAGATTCTAAAGTCCCAATACAACTCAGTGCTCAGCGAACAGTTACCCAGACTAAGGGTCGACAATCCAAAAGAATTCTTTATGAACGAGACCCAAAATTTGGTCATCTCAACAATCCCTGATATTATCCAAACACCACAAGACTTTGAAAAGGCAATAAATGACATGCCCATGCACTCTGTCCCAGGCCCAGACTCATTGAACTCCGTGTTCATCAAGAACTGCAAGAAGCCCCTGTCACGTGCCTTCAGCATTCTATGGAGAGGGAGCATGGACACAGGGGTCATCCCACACACACTAAAAACAACAGACATAGCCCCCACTCTACAAAGGTGGCAGTAAAACAATTGCAAAGAACTACAGACAGATAGCACTAACATCCCATGTCATAAAAATCTTTGAAAGGGCTCTAAGAAGCAAGATCGCCAACCACCTAGATACCCATCAGTTACACAACCGAGGGCAACACGGGTTTAGAACAGGTTGCTCCTGCATGTTCCAGGTACTGGACCACTATGACAAGGTCCTGGATTCTGTAGAGGATAAACAAAATGCAGAAGTAATAACAAAAACTTTGCAAAAGTCTTCGATAAGTGTGACCACAGTGTAATAGCGCACAAAATGCGTGATAAAGGAATAACAGGAAAAGTTGGTAGGTGGATCTATAACTTCCTGACAAATAGAACACAAAGAGTAATAGTAAACAGATTCAAATCCGAGGCAGCCACGGTGAAAAGCTCTGTTCCACAAGACACAGTGCTCACTCCCATTCTATTCATTATCCTCATATCTGATATAGACAAAGATGTAAGCCATAGCTCTGTGTCTTCCTTGTGGATGACACCCGAATTGTCATGACAGTGACCTCCATTAAAAACACCGCAAGACTCCAAGCGGACATCAACAAAATCTTCAAATGGGCCACTCAAAACAATATGAAGTGCAATGAAAAGAAATTTCAACTACTTAGATATGGAAAACTTGAAGAAATTAAAACTGTATCAGGGTATACAACAAGTTATAATCATACAATAGAGCGAAAAAGTAATGTGAAGGACCTGGGAGTGATAATGTTAGAGGATCTCGCCTTCAAAGACCACAACAATGTATCTACCGCATCTGCTAAGAAAATGACAGGATAGACAATGAGGACATTCAAAACTAGGGACGCTAAGCCCATGACCATTCTCTTCAAATCGCCTGTTCTCTCTAGGATGGAATACTACTGTTCACTAACCCTTCAAGGCAGATGAAATTGCTGACCTGGAGAGTGTACAAAGAACTCACGGCACACATACGTACGATAAAACACCTAAATTACTGAGAATGATTGAAGTTCCTTGACTTGTATTCCCTAGAATGCAGGCGAGAAAGATACAAGATAATATACACTTGGAAAATCCTAGAGGGATTAGTACCAAATTTGCACACGAAAGTCACTCCCAACGAAAGCAAAAGACTCGGCAGGAGATGCAACATCCCCCTAGTGAAAAGCAGGGGTGTCATGAGTACGCTGTGAGACAACACAGTAAATGTTAGGGGCCCAAGACTGTTCAACTGCCTCCCAGCATACATAAGGGGGATTACCAAGAGACCCCTGGCTGTCTTCAAGAAGGCACTGGACAGGCACCTAAAGTCAGTACCTGGCCAGCCAGGCTGTGGCTCGTACGTCAATTTATGTGCGGCCAGCAGTAACAGCCTGGTTGATTATGCCCTGACCCACCGCGAGGCCTGGTCAAAGACCTGGCCGCGGGGGCGTTGACCCCCAAACCCTCTCCAGGTATACACACAAATGTGTCCATACGTATTGTACATGCATACATACCCTCTACGTACACACGCATCTATATTTTTTATATTTTGCTGCTTTAGAATTTAATAGCAGCCCTTTACTTCTTTTGGGTGCATTAATGTAGAAGGATATTCTTTTTGAATCTTCCGGCGAACGAAATGCATCTTATTAAACCTGTGTGGGTCATTCAGCTTTGCTAGAAACCTTGGAGAGGACAGAGAGAAATGACCAGAATCGGAGGGGGTATGTGAAACTGAATTAAAGTGAGTTATATTTACGGGGTAGGGATAAAAGCTTAGGAATCCTTCGGCGTCTGGGGAATGGGTGGCAATCAGGTTTGATAAGACGTAGGAAAGGGAAGCTTAGTTCTTTGGATCATGATCCCTTAGCGTCAAAACAATTTTTTGAATGGTAATGACAATGGGTGTGTGAGTGGCAAAGAGTTCCTCCGCTAGGATGGTAATGGAGAGGATGCATGTATCGCTGGGTTTTGTAGCTATAAAACAAGGCAGTTTTTTTTTCGATTTAACGAGGTTCGACATAACGGTGCATTCGATTTAGAGTGCTTTGCATATATATTTTTAATGGATCACAGAATACGCTTAGAAAAGCCTATGCTGGAATGAAGCTTTGCTTTAAATATTAATGGTAATGGAATGTGCTTCTTACCATTTTCTCTACAAAATTAGTTTTTGCCACTGCATTAACAGGAGGCGTTTGCGGAAGGTCCGATTCCTTTATAAATATCAAAGCATTGCCAATGCCATGATGGTGATGCTTTTATGACCGTTTTCAATCATTAGGCTTGAATCTTTTGAATATATACAACGCTTATACACTAGTAAATTTGTTGATAATCAGTATACGTATTTATATTATTTGCTGATGTTTGTGTATTGAATACCGAATCAATACCGATTTGCAGCTCAGACTTTACTTACTATTAGCTTCATGTATGTATATTTTATGAAGTAGAGTTAGGGGAAACTAACTCTGTGGTGCATATGCAAATGCCTTCGAAGACAATTTATGCTGAATAGTCTCTCACCGACAGGAAGACAGACATTTTATGGCAATTTTATCGATAGTTGTATTGTAAAATAAGGTACAGAAATAAGAATATGTTGGGATAAATATGGAGGTGAGTATAGACGCCAGACTCCGGCTGGCTGCGCCGCTCGACCCCACAGCGCTGCTCGTGTTTACTATTCAGTTGCTGAGTTGTGATGTCCATCAATTATACTTCTGTGGGTAGCCAAATCTTACAGAAATAACCTTCTCAGAGCCATATTCTCAACCCGCAAACCTATTCTAGATGGTGAGTAGAGCGCCTATGGCAGGAAATAGGAGAATTAGTCTGGCGGGAAAGTAGAGTCTGTAAGGCAACATGGATTGGTGACAGGCCAGGCACTAATTCCACGCTTTTCCTGTTTTATTTGCACGCTGTTCTTTTTATTGATGTGAGTAATGTGAATATATGTCCTTATGGAGGTATTTGGCGTAGATAATAAGATATATATATATTAGGTCATGCTCAGATAGCATCCCGGGCTATAGACTGTGGTACCATTGGACTGGTTGTTGAAACACCTTAAATAGTAAAGAAGATGCAACTTAAGGTACTGCTAGTGCATATGTCAAGCTGTTCTTAAATTTAAAACCTAAATTGTGGAAATTGATAATTTATCTTTTTCGTTACAACCTAATGCAATTGTTATAATTATGCTTTTATAGCCATTGAAGTCCCAGTTATGAAAGGATGGAGTCAGTGATTACTAGGTTATACTAGGTTAAATTGCACATGAGTTACTCTACAAGCCAGTAGTAAAAATAAAATAAATTTTATTGAACCTGAATAAACACTTGCTTGCTTATATATTCCTCAGGTATCCCCATATGTATTGGTATAATGATGTTTCACCCTCATGGTGTGCTTTTATCAAGCCAAAAACAGAAAATTGTAACTTGATTGAGCCAGTTGTTCCGTGGGCAAAATGTTAATAAAAGTTCCATATAAGTGCATTTGTGTCCTTATAATGAGTTTGTTCAGATTTTTAACCAAGAGTGTTAGCCACCCAGGATAACCCAATAAAGTCTGTGTGCCATTAGGAACTGTTGATCTTATTTCCTTTGGGTTCCTTTAATCTTCTCCCCCAGGATGCCACCCACAACAGTCAATTGATAACTAGGTATTCACTTACTGCTTGGTGAACAGGGGCAGCAGGTGTAAGGAAACATGCCCAACATGCTGGGGAGTAATTTCCAGTCCCCCTGTGTGTGAGCCAAAAGTAACTTAATAGGTTTTAATCTGATTAAATTTACAAATGTGTTGAGAATTAAACTTCCCTGAAGTTTTGTTATATTAATCATATAGAATACTGACAAGTAGATGAGTAAGACGTGTGCAACAGTCTAACCTTATTGTTGAGACGTTTGACCTGCTCTTCAAGTTTCTTCAGGCTGAGAAACTGATCACTTCATATTATATCTCCACTACTGCTATGTCCTCTGTATTTGGACTGAAGAAGCCTGCTGAGCAAGTCAAACTTCTGTTCAGTAAAGATTCCAAACTGTTGCACATATATATGTTTCATTCTCTTGACAGAAAGTGTCATTGTATGACCCATGTAGGTTTAGCACCCTTTTGCATACTGCAATAATAATAATGCTTAAAGTTTTGTTTTCCATATTTAAGATTGTTTGCTTGAAGTTGAGTTTTGTTTTCCTCTAGATACTGCAAATAAGCAGCTGGAGAGGAACGGTCTGGTTTTCATATGAGTATTATTTATCACAGTTCTTACTTTTTTCTGTACAGAGAAAGCATGAATTTTTGTAAGTAAAATTGTAAGTATCACAGCATAGCTGAAAATGCATGTTTATACAGGAATTGAAAGATAATCTCTATGCTATGTGTATTTAGGATAGCACCTAAGATTTCCAGGTATTGTTTATAGGAAAAATTTGAAAAATAAAGATTCGCTTAAATATAACTAGGGACAGCATATTGTTTGTTAATGGTGTAAGTTCTGCTGCCAAAAATACTTAATATAGCCAATAGCCAGGGGCTTTTCAATATGTACGAAATATATTTCTCTTAATTTTGTGACACGAATATCTTGAATAAAATTGATTTAGTTTGACTATAAAGTGCTCGTCATAAAAGTATGCCAGGTGAAAGGCACCCAGTATACTTTAAAGTCCACAGTAATACCCTACAATGTTAAGTTTGCCAATGAAACCAAAAGCTATTTTGCCCTTGCAACATTGCTTTTTTGTTTCATTCCACGTGAGGTGGAATGTTTCAAGATTCTCTAAGACTACTGGCTGCATCTTAAGTGGCTTATGGGCTTGTGTGATGGATGGTTTTATGGCCATGGTACCCCTACCCTGTTTGGTCTTGAGAGTCGAGTTTGTCTGACATTTTGGTTATTGATGAATTAATATGGACAGGAGTAAGCCGCTGACACACAAGAGAATTGCACTGATCTTCATATTACATAGGGCAGGCCATCAAACGAAGGATATTGTAGAAGCACCGATGTGTGTGTGAATATCCTGGGAGGATTTGATTGTGTCGGCTCCTTAAAGACAATGTTGATGACATGCCCACACCAAAAGCACATTCAGAAAAGCCTTGAAAAGCATCCCCACTAATGTTAACTGCAATAATGTACACTACCTGGAATTGCTGTTATCATTTGCCTGAATCTTGCATGCGTTGTAGTGCAAGACACTTCGTGCCTGTGAGGTACCCTTCTTCAGTGACTGGTCTAGATATTCCTCAGACTTTAACTTCATTGAGAGCCTCTGGGCTGTAATGGAGAGGCATCTACTAGGGAAAAGATATCAGCCCACTCTGATGGCTTTAGGATCCATCTGCAAGTCATGGGGGAATTTACCCCAAGAATCCCCTGAAGAATCCATATTAATTACTTCCTGTGTGGGTGAAGGATATCCTAAAGCACAAGTGATGACCTACTTTGTTGATGTGGTTTTAGAGGGGGACCAGTGTGCTTTAATGACGAGCACTGTAAGAGGCTTGGTTGTAGATTAATATCCATAAAATAGTTACATTGTATAATATTGCAATAGGATTCAGTCACTCATCTTTCATAAAATAAATTTTCAGCACTGGACTTACAAAGTTGAGTGTGAATTTAGTGAGTTTTCTAGACAAAAGCAATTCTGGGAACCTCACTTTTAATATTAAGTTGATATCCCTTCCAACTACTTCATTTAGTACAGTTCAGTATATTGTTTTGTTTAGGCTAGGTTATAAGAAATGATCCCTAAAATGATTTCAAAGCATAACAAATGAATAAATTGGGACAATATTAAGTGTTTGAAAGTTTGTCAGACATTAGTGATCTTGCTGTTCCATTTATTGGCGATACAGTGGACCCCCGCATACCGTTGGCATCACATAACGTTAAATCCGCATACCGATACATTTTATCGCTAAGATTTTGCCTTGCATACCGCTAAAAAACCTGCTCAATGCTATTCGTCCGAGATGCGTCTAATGTGCGGCCTGAGCCAGCCTCACATGTTCCGCCGGTGGCATTGTTTACCAGCCAGCCTCCGCGGTAACATCCAAGCATACAATCAGAACATTTCGTATTATTACAGTGTTTTTGGTGATTTTATCTGCAAAATAAGTGACCATGGGCCCCAAGAAAGCTTCTAGTGCCAACCCTACAGGAATAAGGGTGAGAATTACTATAGAGATGAAGAAAGAGATCATTGCTAAGTATGAAAGTGGAGTGCGTGTCTCCGAGCTGGCCAGGTTGTATAGTAAACCCCAATCAACCATCGCTACTATTGTGTCCAACAAAACGGCAATCAAGGAAGCTGTTATTGCCAAAGGTTCAACTGTGTTTTCGAAACAGAGATCGCAAGTGATGGAAGATGTTGAGAGACTCTTATTGGTATGGATAAATGAAAAACAGATAGCAGGAGATAGCATCTCTCAAGTGATCATAAGTGAAAAGGCTAGGAAGTTGCATGAGGATTTAATTAAAAAATGCCTGCAACTAGTGATGATGTGAGTGAATTTAAGGCCAGCAAAGGTTGGTTTGAGATATTTAAGAAACGTAGTGGCATACATAGTGTGATAAGGCATGGTGAGGCTGCCAGTTCGGACCACAAAGCAGCTGAAAAATATGTGCAGGAATTCAAGGAGTACATAGACAGTGAAGGACTGAAACCTGAACAAGTGTTTAATTGTGATGAAACAGGCCTGTTTTGGAAGAATATGCCAAGCAGGACCTACATTACTCAGGAGGAAAAGGCACTCCCAGGACATAAGCCTATGAAAGACAGGCTTACTCTGTTGATGTGTTCCAATGTTAGTGGTGATTGCAAAGTGAAGCCTTTATTAGTGTATCACTCAGAAACTCCCAGAGCGTTCAGGCAAAAGAATATCCTCAAGGCTAATTTGTGTGTGCTGTGGAGGGCAAACAGTAAGGCATAGATCACTAGGGACTTTTTCTATGACTGGTTACACCAAGCATTTGCCCCCAATGTGAAAGATTACCTAACTGAAAAGAAATTAGACCTTAAGTGCCTTCTGGTGTTAGACAATGCCCCTGGTCATCCTACAGATGTGGCAGAGCGACTTTATGGGGACATGAGCTTCATTAAGGTGAAGTTTTTGCCTCCTAATACCACTCCTCTCCTGCAGCCCATGGACGAGCAGGTTATTGCAAACTTCAAAAAACTGTACACAAAAGCTCTGTTTGAAAGGTGCTTTGTAGTGACCCTCAGAACTCAATTGACTCTAAGAGAGTTTTGGAGAGATCACTTTAATATCCTCAATTGTGTAAACCTTTAGGTAAGGCTTGGGAGGGAGTGACTAAGAGGACCTTGAACTCTGCTTGGAAGAAACTGTGGCCAGAATGTGTAGACCAAAGTGATTTTGAAGGGTTTGAGGCTAACCCTGGGAATCCTATGCCAGTTGAGGAATCCATTGTGGAATTGGGAAAGTCCTTGGGGTTGGAGGTTAGTGGGGATGATGTGGAAGAGTTGGTGGAGGAGGACAATGAAGAACTAACCACTGATGAGCTGCTAGATCAACTTCAACAGCAAGAGGCCACACCTGAGGAAACTGCTTCGGAGGAGGGGAGAGAGAAATTGAAGAAGTTGCCTACTTCAAAGATGAAGGAAATGTGTGGAATGTGGCTTAAAGTGCAAACCTTTTTTGATGACAATCACCCTAACACAGTTATTGCAAGCCGTGCTGGTGACTATTACACTGACACTGTTGTGAAACACTTTAGGAAAGTCATAAGGAACGAGAGGTACAGGCCACTATGGACAGATATGTTGTGCGACAGAAGCCCAGTGACTCTGAAGCTGGTCCTAGTGGCATTAAAAGAAGAAGGGAAGTAACCCCAGAAAAGGACTTGACACCTCAAGTCTTAATGGAAGTGGATTCCCCTTCTAAACACTAAGACTCTCTCCTCCTCCCATCCCATCAATCATCACCAGATCTTCAATAAAGGTAAGTGTCATGTAACTGTGCATGCCTTTTTCAGTTTGTGTGTATTAAAATTAATATTTCATGTGGTAAACAAATTTTTTTTTCATACTTTGGGGTGTCTTGCACGGATTAATTTGATTTCCATTATTTCTTATGGGGAAAATTCATTCGCATAACGATAATTTTGCATAACAATGAACTCTCAGGAACGGATTAATATCGTTATGCGGGGGTCCACTGTATTCTATTATTGTTACAATTTATGTATCTCAGGGAATATAAAATAGTTAGGCTTTAAGCCATAGGTTTAATTTCATTTATTGTTAATTTGTGTTAAATTTAATCCCAAATTATATTTTATTAACTTTTCACTAATTAAACCCTAGAGATAATGATTATGGTAAAATAATTCCAGCTGGCCTTCAGCCCACTATGTTAGCTACATGTCAATCATCCATATAAAACTTGTTTGACACCGGTATAATTTTTGGGCTTGATAAATATGTAGAAACTTAAAATTAGACCAGTTGTACTGTATGGCATACTGTGTATATTGAGATTATGCAGTAATTGTTTTGCCACAGCCAATAAATTTAACCACCTTTTGTCAGTGTTGATAACAAGCAGGCAAGCCAGCACACATTAGCAGCAAAAAAAATGTACACCATTTATGAAAATGTGGGCTCCAATTTGCAAAAATACAAAGTTTTAGCAAATACTGTACTGTGTTGGAATAATATGTGCCTTTATTCTGAATCATTAACCCTTTGACTGTTGCAACCCCAAATCCTGAAGTGTCTCTCTTGATTTCGAAAAATTTTTGGAAAAAAAAAGTTATTTTTTTCTTGTGAAATGATAGAGAATCTTTTCCCGATGGTAATGACGCCAAAAGTACGAAATTTGATCAAAAACTTACGGAATTACGCTCCCGCGAAGGTAGTGATCTCGGTGATGTATATACGCATTGGCGATTTCGCCGACATTGAGCCCTGTTTTCGGCCAATTCCATTGTTCCAGTTAACCAAACTCATAGCTATTTCTTTAGAACTCCATTTTTTCTGTCAACTGAGTACAATAAACTGCCCATTTACCAATTTCAACTACCCAATAAAGTGGTTAGAAATTGGCAATTTGGCCAATTTCATGCAAATTAAAAAAAGATGCCAGTTTCAAAATAGGGTCCAGAATAAACAATGCAGACATTCTTGGCTCTAAAATAACATATCCTCTGTTTATTAGTCATGTCTCCATGCCCCTCTTTTATTACTCTTGCTTTCTATTTTGATTTTTTATTCAAACAAAAAACTAGAAGATTTACTGTTATGCAGACCACTGCATTATTGTAAAAATGGTATAAATAATATCAGTGCACTAGTGAAAGAATATTAGACTCCCCAGTTGACGTGTATGAGACGTGCGGTGTGATTTGCTTACTCTTGAACATTGGTAAAAATCGAACATTTCCGCTACTTTGAGCTCAATTTCAAGGTCGTTTTCATCGTGAAGCTAATCAAAATCATCTCTATTTCTGTAATATATTTCGCATTCTATCAAGTGAGACCAAGAAAACGAGAATACAACCATAAATTCTATAGGAAAATACACCACAAAGTCGGCGTTTTAATCCAAAAACACGGAGTTTTTTCTCTCATGCACTGCGTGCTGCAGGATTTTTTATACAGTGCACACTGACCACACAGACCCATTCTCTCACATGTGGGCCTACCAGCTTTCTCCTGCTTGGTTTGAAGCCACTAGAATTGTTGAGTATATATACGTCCGAAACACTGGCTCGTAAGACGTATATATACGGCCAAAACAGTCAAAGGGTTAAATTCAGATTCATTACAGTACATATATGTAATAACCTAAGAGTGACTGAAGTATGATGTATGTGCCCTTTGCAACAGGTATTATGATGCATAATGAAAATGAATTTTTGCTATATTGCTCAGAAATGTCCTTTCTGTTATGGTTTCTGTTTATACAGGTATTTATTTTTGACTTAAAACACAATAGTACATGTACTGCACAATACAGAAATTCAGTCATATATTAATGTACGTACATATATGTTTGTCAAGTGGTAATTTGCCATATGCTCTCAAAAAAATTTATTTCATGGTCAAAATTGAAAAATCGCTGTCATTGTGTAGCCAAGGACTACACGAATCAAGTTTTAAGAGTTGGCGCCATAAGAAGTCTGAAGATAATGCAGCAACGAAAATGCATTGTGAAGTACCAAACATACAAGCAAACATTCTCAAGTTCATCGGATACACTTAACAGTACTACAAGTTGTCCAAACTTGGGATGTTGGTGCCTCTAGCAGATACTAAGGTAGCTACCTATATAGTGATTGTACATAATCAGTTGAGCTAGCCTAGAAGCTCACAAATAATACCTTGCATGTTTACAGCTAAACTATCTTTTTAGTTGTATTATATGTATGGTACTTTTACTTTTGATGGATTTTGTGAGTTTTTTTACTCTAAGAGCCCAGCCCTGGGCCAGGCTTATCTGGTGCTTGCCTGGTCAACCAAGTTATTCCTACTAGTCACCTGCTGGCCCAAATGAAAATTAATAGCATGAAAATTATTTGTAAATTTTTAAGGTATTATAAGTCATATTGTACATTATAGGTATTTAAAGTACATGGGGGCATCACTTAAACAGCTTACAACTGCTTTAAAGTTTATTACATAAAATTAAACCAAGTGAAAATCAAGGAACTTTTAAAATCTCTAACTTATTTAAATTAAGTGATTGTTAAAAATATTTTTGACATAAAAAATAGGGCCTTGATACCACAAAATGCTCTCTGGATGCATTAAAATGTTTTATATTTTGACTTATGAACATGAAAAAATATGGTATTGGCAATGTCAATCACCAATGAGATAAGAGGCATATTGTAAATGGCCAGCTGGTAGGTTTTGCTCATTCACACAGGTGAATACTCAAGAAATCTTACTTGCACTTCTAGAAAGTTTGACTTTTACACTACTGTATATGATAAGTTATTTTTTGTATTCACAAGGTAGGATTTATAGCAGTTAACCCTCTGACTGTCAAGACCTCAAATCCTGAAGTGTGTGTGTTGCAGAATGTTCAAAAAAAAAAGAAAAAAATTATTTTTTTTCTTATGAAATGATAGAGAATCTTTTCCAGATGGTAATGACACCAAAAATACGAAATTTGATGGAAAACTTATGGAAATATGCTCTTACGAAGTTAGTGATCTCGGCGATATATACGTATCGGCGACTTCGCCAACTTTGAGCCCTATTTTCGGCCAATTCCATTGTTTCAGTCGACCAAACTTGTAGCTATTTCTTTAGAACTCCATTTGTTCTATCGATTGAGTACAAGAAACTGCCCATTTACCAATTTCAACTACCCAATAAAGTGGTCAGAATTTGGTAATATAGCCAATTTCATGCACAATAAGAGTTGCCACTTTCAAAATAGGGTCCAGAATAAACATTGCAGACATTCCTAGCACTAAAATAACATTTTTTCTGTTCATTAGTCATGTCTCCAGGCTCCTCTTATATTACTCTTGCTTTCTATTTTGAATTTTTATTCACACAAAATAGAAGATTTACTGTTATGCAGACTACTGCATTATTGTAATAATTGTATAAATAATGTCAACCCATTCGTGACTGCATATTAGACTGGCCATTTGGACCCATATTGGACGTTGACGTCATTTGCTTACTCTTGAACATTGCCAAAAATCAAACATTTCCACTACTTTGAGCTCAATTTCAAGGTCCTTTTCATCGTGAAACCAGTCAAAATCATTACTATTTCTGTAATATATCTGCCAGTCTGTCAAATGAGATCAAGAAAATGAGAATACAACCATAAATACTATACGAAAATACACCTCAAAGTCGGTATTTTAATAAAAAACACTTGAGTTTTTTCTCATTACGCACTGTGTGCTGCAGGATTTTTTTATACTGCGCACACTGACCACACAGACCCATTCTCTCGCATGTGGGCCTACCAGCTTTCTCCTGCTTGATTTGAATCCGCTAGAATTTTGGAGTACGTATTAACCCTTTCAGGGTCGGCAGGCCCTCTCAGGGTCAGAAATTAAAAAAAAAAAATGATTTTTTCGTATGAAATGATAGAGAATCTTTTCCCAACCATAATGACACCAAAAATATGAAATTTGATGGAAAATTTACGGAATTATGCTCTCGCAAAGTTAGTGGTCTCAACGATGTTTACACATCGGCGTTTTCACCCACTTTGAGTCCTATTATCGGTCAATTCCAATGTACCAGTCGACAAAAATCATATCTATTTCGCTAGAACTCCATTTTGTCTATCGAATGAGTACAAGAAACCACCCATTTACCGATTTCAACTAGCCAATAACGTGGTCAGAAATTGGCAATTTTGCCAATTTTGCAAAAATTTCAGAAGATGCCAATTTCCAAATAGGGTGCAGAATAAATAAGACAGACATTCCTGGCACTAAAGTAACATTTCCTCTGTTGATTACTCACGTCCCCAGGCCTCTGCTACATTTCTTTTGTTTTCCACTTTGAATTTTTATTCTCACAAAGAATAGAAGATTTGTTATTCAGACCACTGCATTCGTGTAGAAATGGTATAAATAATATCAGCGCACTTGGGAAAGAATATTAGACTCGCCAGTTGTTGTGTATTGGACACATGGCATGATTTGTTTACCTTTGAACTTTGGCAAAAATCGAACATTTCTGCTACTCTGAGCTCAATTTCAAGGTACTTTTCATTGTGAAACCAATCAAAATCATATCAATTTCCAAAATATGTCTTCCATTCTATAAAATGAGACCAGGAAAACTAGAATACAACCATAAATAGCATTCAAAAATACACTGCAAAGTCGATGTTTTAAACCAAAAACTTGATAGGAGATTTTTTTTTCTCATTGTGCACTGTGTGCTGCAGGATTTTTTTTTGTACTGCGCACACTGACCACATAGACCCATTCTTTCATATGTAGGCCTACCAGCTTTCTCTCGCTAGATTTGAAGGCGCTAGAATTTATGCGTACTAGTACGGTATCAACCCTGGCATGCAAGCCATACTAGTACGGCACCAACCCTGAAAGTGTTAATATGTCAAAAACACTGGCTCGTAAGAAGTATATAGTATATATGGCACCGACAGTCAAAGGGTTAACTATAACTTTTTTGGGTCACCCTGTCTTGGTGGGAGACATCTGGCGTGCTGAGGGAAAAAAAATCTACGTAGGTTCATTGAGGCTTGCAATAGAATAGTGCAGTTCCTTGAGGAAGTACATTACACTTTAGGATTGTTTCCTTACTTGATATAAACTTAAGGATAATAACAAGCTACAGTGTCTATATGTAGATAACTCCTCACCAGGTACAACACAAAGGTTCACACTTACCCTGTGTGTGTCTGTCCCAACACTTATTTGGATCCTGAACAATAGGTTAAAAGTGACTGATTATATGTAGAGTTCATATACAGTGGACCCTACAGTGCATTATAAATGAGGGAATATTGTACTGTACTGAAATGACTAGTCAGATGATTGTGCAGATGATTGTCCAAGTCTTGATATTGGTGGATTCCACAGGCATGTACAATGGTACCTGGAATTACGAACTTAATCTGTTTCAAATGGTTGTTTGAGTGCCGATACTGAATGAATTTGTTCCCATAAGGAATAATGTAAATGAGATTAGTCTGTTTCAGACCCACAAAAATACACTTACAACTTACGTAATTGTTCGAGTTGGGAGGTGTTCGAAACTCTAGGTACCACTGAATAGAACTAGGTACAGTATTTTTGTATGATTATCCAAGGATGCTTTGCTGAATTTAGATAGAATATGATAGGTAGGCCTGCATGCAATGTTCAGGATATTTCTTGTCAGAGAGTATTCTTTTACTATCCCTTTCCTCACAGTATGCTCAGTGATTCAGATTGAGTCCTGTATCTGCACAGTATGCAGCGGACCCTCGGTTATCGGCTGTTCCGGATATCAGCCAGTTTGGTTTTCGCCCGCTTTTTCGGCTGAAATTCTATCTCGGCTATCAGTCGTTATTTCAGAGATCAGCCGTATTTTACGCGTCCACCCGCTGCGTTCGTGAGTCAGTCTGGCTGTGTTTCTGGGTGAGTGAGTAAGATTCCACGCATTCATCCAAACATTTCGCCATAATCCATTGTTTTTTGTGGTTATTGATTGAGTGCAACTGTGAAATAAGCTACCATGGGTCCAAAGAAAGTTTCTAGTGCCAGCCCTTTGGTAAAGAAAGTGAGAAACACAATAGAATTCAAGAAAGAAAGAACTACCAAAGTACAAAAGTGAAAGAGGAAGAGAGAGGGAGAATGTACCTTCTTCAGTAATTCAGTGATACTACGATATGTACAACACTAAAGCAGCAGGAGTCGATAAAGGCTATAGCACCAGCCAGCAATAAAGTGTAGCATTAACAGTGTAGCAAGTGAAGCGATTAAGCGATAGAAAAAGGACGACTGAAATGACTCTCCATTGTTGTTGGAGTAATAGGGCCACTGAAATATATCACCCTGTATCTTCAATTCACTCTAAAGCCAAGGCCAGCATCTCTCCAAGGTAATGTAAATATGTTTACTTATAAATTATGACATATCTTATTTATAAATTACATACATTGTTTCAGTGTGAATAGGTGGTGGAATCCTCTGCTGCCGCCACACCACCCACTATGTGTACGCTTATCCGTCATGCCCTTAAAACCCAACAAAACCACCACCACTACGTAATACATATTCATTCTAAGTATATCAGTGGACCCCGGTTTAACGATATTTTCACTCCATAAGTAATGTTAGTGCAGTACTAGACAGAATTTATTCCCATAAGAAATAATGTGAATAGATTTAGCTGATTTCAGACCCAAAATAACTTACTAACGCACTTACATAATGTACTACTAATTGTCGCATCAGAGGTAATTCGTTATCGGCGGTCCACTGTATATCATGTTTCTATGTTTATTCAATATAGTTCATTATGTCTATTAGATGATAGATAAATAAGCCGTAGAGTTGATCGGCACATTTTGCTTTTGCCTGTTTTCCAAAGAAATCTTCCCTCCCTCTTCGCTCTTCTCGGCATCTTTTTGCTACACCCGAACAAAATTCTTCAATAAAGAAAAAAAAAGTGATTACCCTTTCAGGGTCCAAGGCCCAAATCGGAGTTCACCACCATTGTCCAAGATATTTCAATAAACCAATTGTTATTTTTCTTATAAATCGTAGAGAATCTTTTTGTGAAGGTAATAAAACACAAGTACGCAAATGTGAAAATTGACCA